ACATACTTTGGGCATGTTGCAAGGAAGGACTGGTCCTTGGAGAGGGACATCATGTTTGGCAGAGTGGAGGGGCAGCGAAGGAGAGGAAGACCATCGATGAGATGGATTGATTCTGTGACTGGAGTGGTGGGAATAAGTGCGTTTGAGATGGTAGGTTGGCACAGGATAGAACAGCTCTTGTACACAGGGTCGCTATGAGTCACAAACGACTCAATGGCACACAACAAGAACAACAACAACATTCTCCCAGTGAGAATGCTTGTGCCATTAGATAAATGGATTGTTAGACTCAGGCTTATTCCAGTGTCTCAGTTCCTACTACAAATCATGCATAGAGGTCTTGACTTAAAGAAGTTAATGAGTAGAAAGAAAGACCGTGCAGTTTAGCTGGACGCTTATGATAATATGATAAACCCCAAATTCCTCACACTTTATCCAGACCTTCTAAAGAACTAAAAGACGATGATGGGCACCCAAGAAAGTACCATGAGGTCTGTAGTTGTCCCACGGTATAAGAGCACTTGAGATTAAGATCAGTGCTTCCTTGTCTAGTCTCTGAGGACACTGATTCAACGCGACAGTAATTTTTTTAAAAGCACGGATGGAATTGTGTCCCCTGAAATGTGTTGCAATATTAATCACCTGTTGATATAATCTTGCTTGAAATAATCTGTTAATGAGCTATATCCTTATGTTGATGTTGTTATGTGCCATCAGTTCAACTGTGACTCATAGTGACCCTATGAATAAAGGCTTTGAACAATGCCTTCTCCCGAGTCAATCTCACCATCTCTGACACACCTGACCCCATTATCGCAGTCACTGGATCAATCCACCTCATCTAGGGTCTTCTTCTCCTGCACTGATCCTCCACCCTTCTAAATATGATGTCCTCTCCAAGGAGTAGTCCCTCCTGGAAATATACCTCAAGAGTTTCAGACAGAACCTCAAAATCCTTGCTTCCAAGGAGCAAACTGGTTTCACCCTTTTCAAGACAGATCTGTTTGGGAGGGGGGGTTGGCGGACCACGGTAAGCTCAAAACTCCCTTCCAACTATTCTTCTGCCATCTTTATTAATTTTGCTGTTGTCAGGTGCCATCGAAACAAATGTCACTCAAAATGACCCATGAACAACAGATTTGAACCTTGCCCTATCCTTCACCACCCTCACACTCTTTGAAGCCCATTATGGTCAATGTGTCAATTCACATTGCTGAGGGTCTTCCTCTTTTAAGCTGAATTTTCACCTTTCCAATATGATGTCCTTCTCCGAGGACTGATCCCTCCTAACAACATGCTCAAAGTATGTGAGACAGTTTCACTATCCTTGCCTCTAAGGAACACTCTTGTTGCACTTTCTCTCAGACAGACTTGTTCTTTCAACAGCACATGGGATGTCCAATACTCTCCTTAATACCACAACTCAAAGGTAGCAAATCTTCTTCTGTCATCCTTAGTCATTGCCTAATTTTCAGATGCATAAAAATTAAAAGGACCATCGCTTGAATCAGGCACGCTTTGCTCTTTAAATTGGCATCCTTACTGTTTCACACTTTAAAAATGTATTTGGCAATTTTCCCCAATGTATGTATTTTGATTTCTTGACTGCTAATACCAAGGGTGTTGACTGTGGTTCTAAATAACATTATTGACAACTTTAATCTTTTCCCCATGTATCATGGTGTTGTCATGATCTATAATTCTTATTGAAGGCTGTAGTATTTGATCTTCTGCAGCAAAAGCTTCAAGTTGTCTTCACTTTCTTCAGGCAAGATTGTGTTACCTGTGTAACTCAGGTTGTTGATGACTCTTCCTCCAATCTTGATGTCACATACTTCATTTACTCAAACTTCTCAAATTATTTTGAGAAAATCCAAATTGAATAGGAGAAAGAATACAGCCATGACATACCTTATCTGATTTAAAATTATGCAGTGCTCCCCTGCTCTGTTCAGATAACAGCTTGTTACTATATGTTTATGTTTTGCATGAGTATAATTGTTCTGGAATTCCCATTTTTTTTCTCAATGTCAGCTATAATTTGCTATGACCCACACAGCAAATGACTTGCATAATCAATAAAATAGAAGGAAATATCTTTCTGGAATTTTCTACTTTCAGCCAACATCTACCTAACATAAGTAATGCTATCCCTTGTGCCATGGTCTTTTCTGAATTTAACTTGAATTTCTGGGCAGTTCACTGTCAATGTATTATTCCATCTGTTTTTGAATGATTTTCAGCAAGATTTAACTTTTATGTGATATTAATGTTTTTTGTTGTTGTGTGCCATCAAGTCACAATCGACTCACTGCTGACCTTATAATTAGGCCACCAGTGCTGATATTAAATAATTTCCACATTTTATTGGATCATGTTTTGGGGGGAATGGGAACAAATATAGATCTCTTCCAATTACTTAGCCAGGTCTTCCATATTTATTGGCAGAGGTTGGTGAGCCCAAGGTTGCATCTATTTCCTGAAGCACCTCAACTGGTATTCCATCAATTCCTCAGGCTTTCCTGCCACCCCCGAACCCTTCAGTGCAGTTTGGACTTCTTCCTTTAGTACTTTTGGTTCTCGTTCATATGATACTTCCTGAAATGTTTCAGTGTCAAGTAATTATTTTATTTTATTTATTTTAATGAACACCTAAAGAGATTTTGGATTTTCATTCATTCATTGTTACACTTTCTTCTTTCAGTGTCAAGTAATTCTTATTTGATTCAAAGACTGTGTATTCCTTCAGCATCTTCTTTTGAGGATTCCTGCATCATTCAATATTTTTCCCCAAAGAATCTTTCAGTATTGTGATTCAAAGTTTGACTTTTTTTCTTCAGTTCTCTCAGCTTGAGAAATGCCAAGTATGTTCCTCCATTTCTAACTCCAGCTCCTTGTACATTTCATTCTAAGACTTTTGTCTTCTCTAGCTGTGCTCTTTGAACTCTTCTGTTTAGCTCTCTCTGTCAGCATTGTTTCCCTTTGATTTGGCTTCCTTTTGGTCCTTTGCAAGCTTCAGAGTCTCCCAGGACCTCCATTTCCCCCCCTTTATTTCCTGTCTAATGATCTTTTGCTTTCTTCATGGATGATATCCTTGATGTCATCCCACAACTGTTTGATCTTTGGTCATTAGTGTTCAGTGTGTCAAATCTATACTTAAGAAGGTTTTTAAATTCAGGTGAGATACATTCAAGGTCTTATTTTGGATTTCAAGGACATGTTTTAATTTTCTTCATCTTCAATTTGAACTTGCATAAGAATAATTCACTGTTACACAGCCAGCCAGTGTAGGGTGTTCTATAGCTAATACTTTTTAGACACACAGGCATGCACATATGAGGTAGCACTATATGATGCTTTTAATTTTAAAATATTTTGTTTAAGCTTTTTGTATCAAGGCTAGATAGATGGAATTCTTGTTTAGAACATATTCACTGAAGGTTTCTGTACTGATGTATTCTGAGATAATGCAATGAATAAATCCATTTGGTTGGAACAAAATACTCTTCCAGGACTTTGTCTATTAAGCTGTGAAGAGCCACTAGGCAGTATATTGTTATCAGGTGCTTTGTATTTTGAGTTCAACAAAGGGAGATCTCCTCAAGTTATGTAGTTCTAGCAGCTACAAAAAAATATTATTCTTGAAGACAGAAAACAAAATGCAGAAGACCTTATTATTGAAGATAGAAAACAAAATCATGGAGGAGATTATAGGATTCATAAACATCAAATAAAAACAGATGAGGTCTTACTGATTCCATGGTCCAAATGTCCCATGTCCATATTACTATGGAGATTAATTTGTTCAAAGGCATAAATTAGAAATGTTTTAAAAAATAGAGACTCAGACACAATTCTGAGATCCAAATATATGTTCTCCTTCTGCTTGCAGTTTTAAAAAATTTTCCTCCAGTATTATTTAATTTTGTTGAATATATTAATAACCCAGTTTTCAAAAGGTGTACCAGTTAGATTAATTAGATGCTAATGAATAAAAATTTTTCAGGAAATGATATATTTTAGTGTGTTGTGCCAAACAGACTGAGAGAGAGATATGGGAGAAAGATAGGCAGACAGACAGATGGATGACTTGAGAAACAAATCAAATCCTACATTATCTTCTGATTTTCAAAAATGAAACATAAAAACTTTTATTGAAAAAAAAACAACAACCCTTTTCTAAAAGCGCAAACTCTAAAATCAATTCAACTGGGATTTTGAACTCCATATGTATTAAATCAAACTCCACAGAAAGTATTTAACTCAATGTTGGAAGACATCCTATAAATGTGAATGGAAATAACATTTAGCAGATGACAGAAACTCTGTTTGGATCTTATATAGAACAGGCAATGCACTGCGCAGTGGCTTAAGGACACAGATGCCTGGCAGGAAAAAAAAAGTCTTTAAAAATTATTTTTAGAAACAGTCTATGAACTGATGAACCCTGCAATGTTCCTTTCTCGTCTTAGAGTGGCTCATCTTTAGGAAAACAGACTGTTTGATAGCTGCTCTTAGAAATGGCATCCCTGTTTTATCATAAATGTCATGCCTAGAAAGCACAAAAAAGAGAAGACAGAGTCCACAGAGCAAGGCAGTAACCAGACACAGTGGATTTAGCTCAGATACAAGCACAGTCCACACACACTCCAGAACAGCTTTTCTTGTATTGCAACCATGTCTCACTTTTCATCCATGTTTCATTTCCATTTCCCACCTTTTCTGAGCCTTCCTTACAAAAGAAATGCCAAAAAAATTCACATTCATCCATTTGGACACAAGAACACGCTCCTGGCCTTCTTCAAAGTTGTTTTTATGTTAGGGCCGTCTGGCCCAGGATTATGGCTGTGTTTGTCTTCCTCTCCCCTGAGTTCTCTCCCCCAGAACTTGATGATAGAATCCGTCTTAAGTGTCACAGTTTGTTTGCTGTGATTGACTGGTAAGTTTTAACTACGTGGCTCATAAAGAGAGCAGATATTATTTATTAGCACACAGTCAATCTATTTTATGATCTGAGGCATGTCGCTCCACGCTTGCGATTTCTTTCTGGCAAGTTCCATCCAGGATGGTTGATCTGAACTGGCATAACTGGCTCTCTTTAGCTGATTCAATTCTTTCTCTGTCATCATTGCTGACTGAGCCGCTAAAAAGAAAAACAGAGATATGATAGATGAGTGGGGATTTTCCTTTAAGCCTCTTACATTTAAAAAAAAAATCTCTGTCAAGGTCTTGACCGTGATCCCAAACATAAAATTCATTAATATGTATATCTGCAAAGACTTCATATATAATGCAGGTGACTAACAGACTTAAGAGGCTCACACTATCCCACCAATGCAGTGATGTGGGACTACCTTCCTGAACAAAAATGGCAAGAATAATCCCAGACATTTGATTCAAAGTGTTTAGTAAGATTTAGAGGCTTCATACCCAAGTTCTGATGGGACAATGAGATTCCTCTTTGCAGTCCCTCTTTGAGACTGACTTTGGCCCCATGCTTCCACTCCACAGAAGGCTTAGCAGGTGCTATCAGGAAAGACTTACTTCGGACAAAGTCAGCTTGCTTCATGGACTCCTGTTGGGACACAATAAAGACACATATCACCTGATTACATGTGGTTTCTCTCCCAAAAGGCACCATGCCTGCTGGCACTCTCTTCAGAAAAGTCTGGCTTGTCAGTGTACTGGTCCTGAGCTTTAACATGCAAGCTGCTGAGACCTGGGCTGGCCTTCATCTTAATCATGTGTCACGGCCTCTTTCCAGGCCCTGTTCTTAGGCCAGATGACTAGACTATAGGGATTCCATCTGAAAACAAAAACTGTGCCTGGAAAAAAATATTTTTTTAAAATTTTCTTTTTGTGACACTTGGTGTGTGTGACCATGGATGCCCTAAGCTGGGACTCGATGGTTGTTATTTCTTTTCTAAAACCCCAAATCTATATGAAGTTGGTATGATTTGAAGGGGCGCAGGCTCATTGCTGAAATATGTTTACCGATTTATTTATTCTCCAATGGCTGTTAGGGGAATACAAAATGAGTCTTGGCCTCCTTCTAAGCACTGGTGTCCAGGAAGCAAAACAGAAGCCTTGGATGAAGCCCCAGGTGAGGACTAAGGGGCTCCAGCTGGTAACCAACACAGCGGCAAAAGCAGGCTCGTTTACCACTGAGCAAGGAACCAAGGGAGAACTGTTGACATTGCTGCATGACTCACTGAGAAGTGGTTGAATTTCATTTCTCCAGATGCTGAACTGTGTTGCTTAGGAGGCAGGAAGCAGAGAGCTGTCTACACTGCCTGAGTGATTCATTTCCCTCTCGCGAGCGCATCTCTTTCTCTCCCTCCTCTCTCACATACACACAGCCCATTTCCCCACAACAAACAGTATAACTAGGTTTAATAGTCATGGCTGAGCCTCCCCTGCATGCCAGCCAGCATGACAGGTGGTCTCAGTGATAACCAAGCAGGATGTGCCCTTAGCTTGGGGGCCTTCACCCCAGCTGGCTGCTCCCCATAGTTAAACAGGAAGCACTGCTCTGCGCACCTGGGCCCTCTCCGGGGGCTTGGGCTGCTTTCCCACTTCAGACATCACATTCTGCACCCCAGGCCTGTCTTCCTGGTTGGGAGGCAGGTCCGCGGGTCCTCGGTGCTTCGGCCGAGCTATGGTGATCCAGGGTGGCATAGGTTGGCCGTCAGTTCCTGACCCCGCTGCTGCCGAAGTCTGACCCTTTTCTGTGGATAAACACACAAGGTTATGTTTGTTGTTTGGTTTTTTTAAAATGCTTTTTCACACAGAGCATGGTCTGGCATTGTCCCAGAGTGGTGATAGTTAGGGATGGGAATGAAAAGATCTGGAAGTCTTTCTTGTTGTTTTGAACCACTGAGTCAGAACCAACCTATAACTGACCCTCCACTGGGTTTTCAGAGGCATTAACTGCACAGGAGGAAATTGCTCATCTTTCTCCCATGGAGCAGCTGGTGGATTCGAACAGTATACCTCTGGGTTGCCAGCCCAACTCCTTACCACTCAGCCACCAGAGCTCCCTGGAAGTCTCGCTAGTCAGATTATTTTTCTTTAACAGGTTTTATTTTCTTATTTGAAGTTGTTCTGAAGTGTACCAAAGAGATATGCTCCTCTACTAGCTCTGGTGGTCTATTCAAGAGGGAGCTGGAAAGTTGTGGTGTTTGGCTTTTTTACCCTTTTTTTTTTTTTTAAGTCATTACAGTTAGCCTCCTCTAGTCTCCAGATAACCTTAATTGCAGACACATGGTCTTGCAAATCTTCAACAAGTGCAGGACTAGGATAAGAGAAAGAGTGTGTTTCACACAGGACAGCAAGACTTCAGGGAGACTGGAACAGACTCTGTTGTTAAGACTCTGGTGATGGAGTTACAGAGACTATGGCAAGGTGTTACCTGAGACTTCTTGCATTTATGCTGGCCACAGTTAAAGGTTTTTGCTGTTTTTGCCAGAGGCTTGAAGGAGAAGCTGACTTATAACTGCTGATGCAAACCTTGCTGGATGATGTAGATTTGACTGCTGAACTGAAACCAGAGCCTGGACTCACTGGGGAATTGTGCCTGAGACTTCTTGGGTTAAAACCTGGACTTATTTTGGTGACATTCTTTGCTTCCCCCATTCTCCAACTTCCTTCTGTAATAAACCCCATTGCTGGTACCATAACTGTGAGTCTGTGAGTCAGCAACAAATAAATGAACCTCTTGCTACTGTTGTGGCTCTAGAGGCACCAAGAAGCTGAGCTATGGGCTCTTTAACTGTTTTCTGCTCTGAAGCAGTGTGAGCTGATGCTCTTCTAACTCCCTCTGGCCCTTTCAGAGAGATGCTCATGGTCCTATGGTGCCCAAAGCCCTCACCTCTCTGTAGTTCAAATCCACCAGCAGCTCTGTGGGAGAAAGATATGTAAACTACTCTCATGTGATTTACAGCTTCAGAAAACCCACTGGAAGCTCAGCTATGAGTGGGCTCCAACTCCATGGTAGTGAGTTTGGAAAAATTCTGGAGCACAAAAAATAAAATCAAAGAATCCTGCAAGATGTGAACACTTCAAAGTCAACTTCCTTCTGGTAAATTCTTTCCAGAATGAGATAAACTTAAATGCGTAGACAGAATCCTGTCATGTTATCAGAACTCACGCATGTACCACTTGACCCCTGATTTGCTTGGAAATTGTATACACACTATTGTTCCCTTTTCTTTTAAAAGCTCTAAGAATAACTTTCTCTTTGTAGAGAGTGACGCCAAAACAGCCACGGTTGTTTAGCTCTACAGTCCAAGAAGAGAAACAGTGTCTTTAAAATTGTGTAACATTTTGGCATCTCTTATCTCTGGTGGTAAAACTGTGGGCCATTCCCCCTCCTACTTTACTCTTCTATTTTTATGTTTTATGATAGTCTATTTTCAAAGGATCAAAGCCAAACCAATGGCTGTGGAGGCAATTCTGATGCTTGGTGACCTCACGTGTGCCAGGGTACAACCACCTACCGTAGAGTTTTCAATAGCTGCCAGGCCTTTCTCAGGCAGCACCTCTGGGTGAGTTTAAGCCACCAACCTTCGAATGTGTATCTAAGTGCAATGCCATGAAAACCAGGAGGAGTTAGCAACTTCCTTTTAAAACATGAGAGAAACCTGTGGATGAATGCCTGACTTCTTGCCAGGCAGTGAAAGGTTCCCACACACTTGTCATTCTGGGAGCTCAATGGTCACTACACCCAAATAAACACAGCAGTGTATCTCCCAAACACTCAGGTCTTGGTCCCCTTCTTGCTTTCTGGTGATTTTAATTCATTACAGTGCACTTATAAGCTGGAAGACAGCACTTGGGTTATAACCACACAGGAGGATGTCCAAGATCAATGTACTGACTATTAACCAAAAGGTTGGTGGCTCAAATCCACCCAGAGGACAGACCTAGAGACCAGTTACTAAAAGGTCCCAGTTTTGAAAAATCTATGGAGAAGTTATACTGTGACATACAAGGGGCTTGAGTCAGATATGACAACAGCAATTAATTTTATCTGGTTGGGGGCGGGGAGTTTTAAGTCAAGGGTACAGTCAGGAGGACACATGGACATGTATTCCCCATACAAGGAGCAAGAATGGCAAGGTATGGGTATAGTCCAGGAAGAGGTGACAAGGTACTGGACATCCTGCCTTGGAGTCACCTGTCTTTTCAGCGAAGCCTAACTAGATGCTACCTTCTTCATCACATATGTCTGGCCCGTCTAGGGGAATATCCTCTCCCTCTTCTGATCTTGAGATCCTTACCACTGCATCTGGTATGAGAAATATTTATTAACCCACCATCTATACCATCTATCCCCATTGATATTTGCTTTTTGGTCTAAAGAACTTATTTCTTTAACAACCATATGCCACAGACTACAAACCAGGTACTGTTCTAATATTAGCTCATTCATGATGTCATTTCATGTTTCATTTCTTGTCCAGAGAACCGAGTCACTGCCTGGCACACAGCAGGTGCTGGGTGGCTGCCATGTTCTAGATAAAGTCTGTATTTCTCATCCTTCATTCTCAACCACAATTCTCCATCATTTTTTTCCTCTTTGGGTTTTTACTTTTCCTAAAAGATTCTGTTTGCTTTTGATCTCTGCTTCCCATTCAGTGGCCAGTCATGCCCCCTTTGTTCTCCTGCTGGCTAGGCAGCAAATCCATCTCACTTCCCATCCCCATTGCATCTGGCTAGCCCACAGCACAGACAGGCGTCTTCCCCACACCACATGTATTCCGCTGAGAGGAACTTCACTATGGGTTTCGACTCATTACCTCATTCAATAAAAATACCCTGAATAATTCTGTCAAGACTAACTATATTCTAAAAGCAAATTTCCATTACAAATTTTAAACCAGAAGCAGAACTTTAGCCTATAAAATGCCAAATCATCCAGCATCCCAGCATGCTCTGGCTGGCTCTCACCTTCCTTGGGGCTCAGTCTAGGGCCCCTGAGACTTTGCCAATTTTTATCACAAGGAATAAAAACACCAATCTACAACTCTGGTTATTTCATTAAACTTCATTATGCCAAATACTAGGATTATCCTGCTAAAAAGAATATTTGAAAGAATACTAGAGGATTAGGGAGCTCTGGTGGCCTAATGTTAAGAAGCTGTACTGCAATCTTAAAAGCACACAGTTCTAATCCACTAGATGCCCCACAGGAGAAGGATGGGCAATCTCTTCCTTTTCAATCCACAGCCTCTGAAAACCAGCTGAAGAGGCATCTATGAGTCGGTTCTGACTTGATGGCCCACAATAACAACAACAAAAGTGGTTTAGTGATAAGGCATTACACAGCCAATGCAAAGTTACGTGGTTCACCAGCTGCTCTGCAGGAGAAGGATGGGCAATCTCCTCCTGTATAATTTACTGCTTCTGAAAACCCACTGGAGAGTCAGCTATGGGTTGTTCCAACTCGACAGTCTATACCACCACCACCAACAACAACAACAACAACAAAAACATGGATGATAAAATTTGTAGATACACACATTGTTGTTGTTGAGCACCACTGAGTCAACTACCACTTACAGTGATCCCATGAACGACACATGAAAATCTAGCCTGACCCTGTGTCATCCTCCCATTTTCTGCCATGTTCGAGCCCACTGTTGCAGTCACTGTGTTAACCCATCTCACTGATGGTCTTTCTCTCTGTCGAGGACTTTCTACTTTTCAAAGCATGATGTCTTTTTTTTTTTCAAAGTCTAGTGCTTCCTGACAACATGAACACACAAACAATGGAAAATTATTCAGCCATAAAAAAATGAAAGTCCCAACACAGGTACAATATGGACAAACCTTGAAAACATAATGTTAAAAGAAATAAACTACTATCAAAAGAACAAATATCCCATAATCCTGTTTACAGAAAATAGTCAATGTGGAGTTCTGGTGGCCTAGTGGCAAGAGGCTGTGCTGTAATCCTGAAGGCATATGCTTCAAATCCACCAGCTGCTCTGCAGGAGAAAGATAGGCAATCTCCTTCTGTACGAATAACTGCCTCTGAAAACTCACTAGAGGATCAACTAGGTTCAGACTTGGTGGTCCACAACAACAACAATAGACAGCATGGTGGGAACATTGCTTAAGAGATACCAAGTTTAAAAAAAAAAAAAGAGAGATACCAAGTTTCCATTAACAGTGGTGGAATAATTTGGAAAAAAGGACAGTGGTGAAGGTTGTACAACATAATGAATGTAATCAATGCAACTGAACTAAATATATAAACACTGTTGAATTATCAAATGTTTCACTATATATATTCTCACCTCTCTGACACTAAGATAAACCAAGGAAGAAAGTTAGGTGGAATAAGAGTATATGTAGTGTTCTAAGGGGTGGGAAGAAAGGAGACCCTGGAGTGAAACCAGGGGCCTACGAGTGGGCCAAGACCTGGTAACCCTTCAATCTCCCCTTCCAGCTTGCTTATGAGAACTACAGTCTTGTAAACAATGCTCTTCTTGGGTTCTGTTTGGCAAGAGATGGTTTAACTTTCCTTGTATAAAGAGTGTGTTAGCGAAATTCCATCTGAAGCTCAGAAGGGCCCTGTGTCACTATTCAACTTCAGCACAGCAAAGTTTCTAGGCTGTGTGTGGGTTCAGAGGCAAATCTGATAGAGCATCAGGTTTTGCTAGCATAGGATAAGGGTGAGGTCAGCCTCTCAAAGAGTGGTCAGGTCCTCTATCCAATATTA